TTTTACCTTGACTGGCCAAAGAAAATGAGATGCAGTCCAGTAAACGCCCTCCAACTCGTTGGTATCGCGTAAAAATCATATCGAGTTTCAGAAAATCATATAAACAAAATGAACACAAACCATAGAACTAAAATTACCAAATAATAAGTCAGGAAAGAATCTCTAATTACTTTGCCGCTGGGTCAATGAATGTAGAGTGTAGCGCGACAAACACTCATTATATTTTTGGACATGAACACCGCTAGTTGGATGATTGTTATGCTCCAATTTGTCTTATGCTTTTTATAGTCAGAATAATGTTTTCCAATTACTTCACTTTGAATGCTCATTGCTGTGACTTTTTGAAGCCTAAGATTATAGTTAGCGGAAGTGATATGAACAAAAGCATCGGCTTTTGAGCCATCATGGGTCAGATATAAACCTTATCGAACAAATCAACAATTTATTGGGATAACCGGGTTAGTGTTCAACAATCAACGATATTTTAACGTCGGCGGTGGATGGCGCGTTTCACCTTTGGCTTCGGCGGCAGAATGATACCATCATACTAAAATAAAATAAACAATTGAAATCTTCGTAGAAATGAACAATAGTGTGTCTCACTTTTTGCTGGAACCACTTCACAGCTTCGTCACGTGTCACACGATGAGATGGTCCAACACGTCCTGGTGCACGTCTTCTCTTAGCTACACGGCTGCCAGCACGAGCTAGGACGACATAGAAGTCCATTCCATAGATTCCAATAGCAGGATCATACTTGATACCCAGATCGATGTGCTCCTGTAATTTGATACTGGAACAGTTAAAGGATGTATGGACGTGGCTTAAATTTTGGAGTCTCAATAAGATGATGTTCACCAAAAAGAAGTACCGCTATATTATTTATGCATGTGAGCATGATAAGGATTGTTGCAAAAGGTAAAGGGGTTTGTTTACTGTCGTTAGTCGAAAGTGCACAGTTCTAATCCCATCCAAGTTGGACATACGATTGCAGATCATACATGACCATAATCAATTCTTACTCGCTTTAAAGGGATCTGGGCATTGCTGATCGTGTCAAATCGTACACCCCTGTGCTCACACTTCCCTTTTCTAAATTTTTTGGTATATTCTTGCGTGGTGCTCAAATGATGCTATGCTTCTGCTGAGATTTATTTGGCACTGATCATTCCAAACACAGATGGTAGCTTAGAAAGAGCATTCTTTTACTAAATCACAATTGTTATCGCTCCGGTGGATGAGATCAAATTGCTTCACTTTACATCTCTTATTTTTTAGCTGTGAAAGTCTTATGATGATACAAAACTTTTGCCTAGTAACTTCCTAACGAGCTCCCTTCTCCTTTCTGTCCATGTATCTTTTTTAATATGCATTTTTAACTAGTCAAACTTACGTGCTCAAAAAAAAAACCAATGAAGCGATTTCAATACGTAAGACATGACTTCATACATACGCACCTGGATACCAAAACCAAAGTTCCCAGTGTTTGAGAAATTCTCCTTGTGCAACTCAAATTCTTTGACTTTCAGTCCCTTTTCCAAAATTTCCTCTGCTTTAGAGCCGCGTACAGTGCAATGCACAGCAATTTTCTCATTTCTTCTAATTCCAAACGATCGCACAGTATATCTGGCTTTTGAAAGAACAGGTAGTTGACCCGTGAGTTGCTCCAATACCTATAACTGCTATTTTGAGAAAAATAAAACAAAACAGAAACAATATAAAGGTTGCCTTAGCTGCACGGGTAAGTCGATCACCGGATTCTCCAACACAAATGTTCAAACAAAGTTTCTGAATTCTCAACTCTCGCATCACATTTTTTGCTTTCTTCTCACGGGCTTCAGCTAATTTCTCCTCCTCA